CCTTTACCCAAAGTGACTTAAATACACTAAACCACTGAGCCACAGCCAGTATTAGTTTAAATTGAATTTTGATATTTTGTGTGACGGAAATCTACTTTAAAAAGTTGAAATGCCTTAATTTCCTTAAAGAAGACAGTTTTCTTTCACCGTGTTTTATCTTTTATATTTTTATATACTTACTTTTTGCACGTCTATATATTAATTAATTCCAGGTTAAAGTACTTTATTTGTAATCAAATGTAGATCCTTATTGAATAAATGAAGCTATAGAGAAACTGATATTATAGATAGAAATTATGAGAAAACAAATAATAAAAGTTGCAAGAACCTAAATGGACCAGTCATAAAGGGGATAATGCCACAATTTGAATAACATTTCATTAATATAATCTAAATACTTTCGGTAGTTTTTGTGTAAATTATTGTTCATTATCTAGATGAAATCATGTAATCCTGTATATGCTTCTGATCCTCAGATGTGAAACACCTGCATGCTGTCAGTTAATCCTCAGCTCCTGTCTAGAAAGGCTTCTCAATTATCTAATTTCCCCTCCTCGACTCCTATCCTCGAGACTTGGTACCGCCCACAGGAGATGCGAGCGGAGGACTGAAGAGGGGAACCGAGGAGAGAGGAGGGGAAGCAGCAGGCGGTTAGAGAAATGAGAACTCCTCTCCTCTGAGCGGTCATATTAAAGAGACGTCCATTAATGAGGACAGGAGGCAGCAGCACTCTGTCTGATGGACAGATGTGTTCATGTTCACTTTTAATTCATTCACCGTGCGGTATAATGAGACAATAACAGGCTACAGATGCGGGGACACACACACAAATATATTAATATAAATATATACAATTTAAAGTACGAAAGCACTCTCATAATAACACAATCTGAGACTGGATATATCCCCCCCCCCCCCCCTCTCTGGTCGCTGAAATGGGGAATTTAAATTACGGGCAAAAAGTTGTATTTACAAGTATTAAAAGTAAGCAGAGGACACCAAACCAACTGAGACCTGTCTGTCCGCTGCATCTACGCACTGTACAACACACACTTAGTAAAATAATATCCAGGGGATGCATGCAGAGCTGTCATTGGCTGAGATCAGTCCGGCCGTGCGTCACGACTCTTTGAAACATCTCTGTTCCCGGAAATACATCCACGGAGGACCGTGGAGGACTCATCAGTGTCTCCTCGGTTAGAGCTCCTCCAGAGAGCCTCCTCGATCCTCATCGATGCTCGGTCCTCGATGTGCATTTAGAGAAATGAGATGTCTTTCAACATGGCGCGCTGAAATCCATTTCCGGGTCACTACCGGAGGACCGAGGAGTCGAGGAGGGGAAATTAGAGAATTGAGATGCCTTTTAGGTGTCCTTCAGAGAGTGAATGGATGAATGAGGACATTTAACAGCTCTATAGTTCTAAACATTTATCAGCTCCATAGTTGTAGTCCTTTAACAGCTCCATAGTTGTAGTCCTTTAACAGCTCCATAGTTGTAGTCCTTTAACAGCTCCATACTTGTAGTCCTTTCACAGCTCCATAGTTGTAGTCCTTTAACAGCTCCATAGTTGTAGTCCTTTAACAGCTCCATAGTTGTAGTCCTTTAGCAGCTCCATAGTTGTAGTCCTTTAACAACTCCATACTTGTAGTCCTTTAACAGCTCCATAGTTGTAGTCCTTTAACAGCTCCATACTTGTAGTCCTTTAACAGCTCCATAGTTGTAGTCCTTTAACAGCTCCATAGTTGTAGTCCTTTAAAAGCTCCATAGTTGTAGTCCTTTAACAGCTCCATAGTTGTAGTCCTTTAAAAGCTCCATACTTGTAGTCCTCTAACAGCTCCATAGTTGTAGTCCTTTAAAAGCTCCATAGTTGTAGTCCTTTAACAGCTCCATAGTTGTAGTCCTTTAAAAGCTCCATACTTGTAGTCCTTTCACAGCTCCATAGTTGTAGTCCTTTAACAGCTCCATAGTTGTAGTCCTTTAGCAGCTCCATACTTGTAGTCCTTTAACAGCTCCATAGTTGTAGTCCTTTAACAGCTCCATAGTTGTAGTCCTCTAACAGCTCCATAGTTGTAGTCCTTTAAAAGCTCCATAGTTGTAGTCCTTTAACAGCTCCATAGTTGTAGTCCTTTAACAGCTCCATAGTTGTAGTCCTTTAACAGCTCCATAGTTGTAGTCCTCTAACAGCTCCATAGTTGTAGTCCTTTAACAGCTCCATAGTTGTAGTCCTCTAACAGCTCCATAGTTGTAGTCCTTTAACAGCTCCATAGTTGTAGTCCTCTAACAGCTCCATAGTTGTAGTCCTTTAACAGCTCCATAGTTGTAGTCCTTTAACAGCTCCATAGTTGTAGTCCTTTAACAGATGCTCTCCTGCTGCTTGTAGTTCTTAAAGGATGTAGAGACGGCATTAACAGAAACTCTCTCTGATCTGAAGCTGCTGTCTCGCTGTAAAGAAATGTGCTCTGAAGCTGGATTATAATGTGACTTATTTTATATTTTTGTATTGACATTGTTTGTCACGAGCTTGTTGTTTGTGATGTTGTTAAAGTGCTAATCCAAAGTATATCATCTGAACGATGACCTGCTGTTGCTGTGATGCTTGAACTGTTTTTATCTGAAAGCTTCTTTGATGTTCTCTGATGCTCTGCAGGATTTCTATGCTGTCATTTAAACTGTACCATTTATATCCAAATGTTTGAATAAAACATGAAAAAGTCAATCTGTGAGTTTGGACTGATATTTAATTATATATTTTCATATTTGTTGCAAAGTTGCCCTTTAATGAACGTTTTTATACTCGTTTTAATTCTCATTTGTGAGCATTTTACGACTTTATTAAAGAAGTTGGTAGAGAGACCAAACACTTTAGAGAGGTGAAACAGATACTGCATAATAAATAATAATAAAGGGTATTTGTATTTATATAGCACTTAAGATACAAGAGACTAAGCTCAAAGAAACACATTCAAACAAATAATGAATACAGTTGTAAAAAATGATGAATGTACAGACTCAGTGAAAGTAGATAAAGACAATACATTAAGAGAGATATCATTGAGAATTACTTAAATTAAAAAGTGACATTATTTATTAGGCATTAATTGTTATGATTCAGCTTTTCCCCTCACATAACTTCACTTACTAAATATTTGTTTTACAACAGTTTAAGATATATTAGTACATGGTTTTATCCTGATTTCACATTAACATCAGTACACTTTGTAAATGTAGTGTACATGTTTATTTATGTTATCAGCGGTAGATTGCTGGATGGCTGCTCCTCTGTTACTCTGCTCTTATTCAACAGGCTGAAGTCACATTAAGGAAGAAGTAAGAACCAGTTTGAATCTTCCTTATTTACTTAGAGCAACATATCACCACTGAGGGACCCCCAGTCTACGCCAGGGCCCAGCGGTTGAACCCTTCCAAACTTGCAGTAGCGAAGGCGGAGTTCTCAACCATGGAATGCCTGGGTATCATCCGCCGGTCTGACAGTCCTTGGGCGTCTCCTCTGCACATCGTCCCCAAGCCTAATGGTGGTTGGCGCCCGTGTGGGGACTACCGCCGCCTCAACGACAGCCGACCGCTACCCGGTGCCGCACATTCAGGACTTTTCGGCGCACCTGGCGGGTAGGCTCATGTTTTCTAAGGTGGACCTGATGCTTGGATACAACCAGGTGCCCATGCATCCCCTGGACATTCCCAAAACGGCGCTGATAACGCTATTTGGGTTTTTTGAGTTCCTGCGGATGCCTTTTGGGCTCAAGAACGCCGCTCAAACATTCCAGCGCCTGATGGATTCAGTGCTGCGGGACTTAGCGTTTGTGTTCTTCTACCTGGACGACATACTTGTCGCCAGCACTTCTGAGGATGAACACCTGTCCCACCTCCGGGCCCTTTTCACGAGGCTCAGCCAACACGGGTTGATAATCAACCCTGCAAAGTGTCTGTTCGGGCTGTCTGACATTGACTTCCTTGGCCACTGCGTCAGCAAGGGCGGAGCAGCACCCTTGCCGGCGAAGGTTGAGGCTGACGCAGCGTTTCGTCGCCCGCACACGGCCCGGTCGCTCCGTGAGTTCCTAAGGATGGTGATCTTCGACCACCGTTTCATCGCCCGGGCCGCCCACATTATGCGGCCGCTGTATGAGGCATTGAAAGGCAAAGCCCCCATCCAGGAGATCGACTGGACGGCGGAGGCTGAGGTTGCCTTGAAGGAGGTCAAGACCGCGCTGGCTCAGGCGGCTCGGTTGACGCATCCGTCACCCACGGCCCCCATCTCCATTACCACAGACGCATCGGACTACGCCGTCGGTGCGGTGCATGAGCAGTGGGTGGAGGGAGCCTGGCAACCACTCGCCTTTTTCAGCCGCCAGCTGACGCCCAGGGAACGCAGGTACAGCGCTTTTGACCGGGAGGTCTCTGGCTGGCCGTGCGGCACTTCTGATTTTTGCTGGAAGGCTGTGAATTTACGGAGTTCGTTGACCACAAGCTCACTTTCGCCATGTCCAAGGTGGCGGAGCCTTGGTCTGCTCGCCAGCAACGACAGCTTTCCTACATCTCGGACTTCACCACGGACATCCAGCACGTGGCTGACAAGTCAAACCTGGTCACAGATTGCCTCTCCAGGGTCGTCATCGGAGCCGTCCAGTTTGGCCTTGACTATACCCGCATGGCACTCAGGTGTCCCGGGTTTCCGTGGGGCTTCAATCGGCAGAGCACGTGTTCATCCGGCACGACGCTCACAGAGGCCCCCTGCAGCCCCCTTACGACGGGACTTTCCGGGTCTTGGAACACGGCAAGCACTTGGTGGTCGACCTGGGTGGCAAGGCCGAGCACGTCGCGGTGGACCAGGTTAAGGCTGCTCACCTGGACTTGGACCAGCCGGTGGTGCTGGTCTACGACAGGGCCGCCCCCAGGCCTTGACCCCTGTCACCAAATTGGGGCCTGCGGTTCCGGTCCCACCTCTCCCAGCGGCCGCCCCTGCAGAGGTCGCCTCCCCGGCTCCCGTTCTCCGGAGTCGTGGTGGTCGGCCTGTCGTTCCTCCCCGCCGCAGAGACTTTGTGTATGGGTGAATTCTGGGGGGGCTTGTGTGGTGGAACCTTACGGGACATAATTCACTGTGGTATATAGTGTGTGTTGTACAACGGACCGGTTAGAGAGTGTACCTGGTGGTTGTTATCATTCTAGCTTTAGTAGCATGTATGCAAGTTATTCTTCCCTTCTGTAAACCTAATGGAAAATAAAGTGTGGAGTTCCATTCTCAACACGTCGACTCCGACTCCCATTCATCGGCTCTACAGCAGTGAATATGTGGTTGAATTGTAGTTTTTTATATAATACATATATTCAGTGTTAGTGTTACAGTGCTTTTTGTATGTTGTCAGTCAGTATGATAAGTTTTGTTTTGCAGAATTCACCAAATAAGATGAGGACGGGCTTTTATTCTGAAGGACTCGAAGCAGGAAGTGATGCAGAAACCTCTAGAAGACTTTCTATTTTGCGCAAGTGAGAGATTATGGGAAGTGATTGGGATGGGCTGGAGTGTGTGTGAGGAGTGTGTGCAGTTTAACCCTCCAGCATGATGAAGCAGCTTCCTCTTCTTCCTCTTCTTCTTCTCTTCAGTCTCCTGACTGGAAACTCGTCTGCCTGCACAAACGGTGAGAACACTTACACTCTTATTCACACAACATTACGTCATTTTGCTAATTTAATTACATCTAAAAGGCTGAAAAAAACATGCAGGAGTCTGGAAACAGAATATTATTAGTCTGCTTTTTATTGGTCATAGGGAAATGTAGAACAATATCTAAAGTAATGCATCATCAGAAGAAAGCCTATGAAGAAAAGGAGTGCTTCTTATCAGTCTAAGTTATAATCATCATCTTATTGTAATAGGCCTTTATATTGCTAGTGCTCTCGTAAAAACACCATTAAGGGATGTCTTTACACAAAAACATTTATGGATCTTTATAAAATAAATAAAGAATTCAGTTTGGATTCAGTGCTCTTGTCCTCCAATAGGATTCAATGTAATATAATTTCTGGTAAAATGAGACAGAGAGCAAAGAAATCATAGATATGACATCAGAAAGTATTGCTATGAAGACAAATGAAAAATAAGTCTTCATTAAAAAATATAAAACTGTTGGGATCAATTTTTAACCTTGCATTCATCCATTTTGTTCAATATGTTCACATTTCTGTTATGTCATGTACAGTTAATATTATTTTTTTCCCAGGTTCAGGTGTTAACGAGAGGCTTGGAATTTTTTTTTTAAATGTTCTTAACCTGCACTGATTTTACTTAAAGGGGACCTATCATGCAAAATGCACTTTGTGATGTCTTTTATACATAAAGATGTGTCCCCGGTGTGTCAGGGAACTCACGCAGCGTCAGAAAATAAAACCCTCTCTCTTTTCCTCCGTACCCAAATCTCTAAAAACGGGGAACAACGGAGCTGATCCAGATTTGCGTCCGATATGACGTAATATCTGAAATGTGGACCCACGGCCCAATCAGAAACGTTGCTATCAGAAACAATGCCCGACTGTTTTGGACGTAATATGGTCGGTGTTTACATTAGCATCGCTAACACTCAGAGCTAACCTGTACTGGAGAGCATGGTTGCGTTCCAATAGTCCATTTAGCTTAGGAACCTTCCTAACGGAGTGAAATGACCCGGAAGTACGTCAGTGGCAGCCATGATAAGTGCCGTTCGAATTCTCTAGAATGAAACTTCCTTTATAACCTCCTTTAGCTTAGGAACCACTGGACCTCCCTTACCGAAAGGAGAGGAGAAAATGCTGCCCCAGAATGCATTGCAGCCGCAGCATTTGCCGTCACTCAACAGTCGGCCGTTCACGGAAACAACCGATTATGACCGAGAAATGATATCATGAAAGTTACGGTGCTTATTAAGCATTTTAAAACGTATGTGGTAAGTTGCCAAAGTGCTTTGTTCTGAACGTTCATCAGTATTATAATCAAAAAGAGAAATATGAACGTTAGTTTTTACTGAAATGATCAAATAAAGTCAACATCTCACAGTCTTTACTGAACTGTGTGGAGTTTGTTCAACTTTTAAAAGATGTTTGAATGGTGATATACACAGAGATAGATGTTAAGGACTAACGTTTATAATAAATACATCTGTATTGATTTTAAGATCTTTTCATAGTTCATACAATCATACGTATTGAGATCATTTGTATTAATGTGGACCGGAGGGAGAGGGGGACGAGCATAAGTTTCACTTTCCTTTTTTATTTCAATTCAACTTTGGTCCTGAAGAATCTGTTTCTCTGTTGTCCCCGTTCATAAAGCATAAAGCAACAGCATCAGAGCACAGAGTCTCTAGATGAGTTTACAGGAGTCCCTCGTTCTTATTGAACATCCATGTTGTAGTCCTCTGTATAGAGATCTGTAGTTTCCATAGTTTCCCCACAGCAGCAGACGCACATTCATGACGTCCGCTGGCGCATCAGAAACACGTCGGATAGTGAAAGTGCATTCGGATTCTCTAAAGTACCGCGGTCTCTTCTCCTAAGTCCTTTTGAATTCTCCTATCCACTATCCCTTAACCCTGTGACCTTTCACTCAGAGGTCAAGGAATAGGAGATAGGGTTAGAATTTAGGAGCTGATTTTTGGATTATCGGAATGCAACCCATGTGTGTGAAGAAGCAGGAAGTAAAAAGGAACTCACCTTATGGTATAACCGGCAAGAGAGAAAGCCTTTGAGCTCCAAACTGTTTCAGAGAGAATCCTTGATAATCCATGATATGGCGTTTCATCACGGCAGCATTTAGTTTAGACAGTAGCTGCCGGGTCCCTCATGAGCTCAGACCCCTCCTAAAGCTTTATACCAAAATCAGCACTTTTGAAACAGGAAGTGAAATAGAGGGATATGAGGCATGGCTAGAATGGGTGATCCAGGGCCGTATTCATGGAGTCAACATTGGGGGGGACCAACAATTCAATACAAAGTTGAATACTAATTTCCTGCCATTCTAAAGGAAAATACATAAAAAAATCACGGTAACACTTTATATTAAGGTACACAAATTAACCATCAACTAGTTGTTAATTAACATGAATATTAGCAGTATATTGGCTCTTTATTAGTCATTATAAAACACTTATTAATGCCTTATTCTACATGACCATATTCTACAAGTAATAAGCCATTAGTTGAGAGTTTTTCCTCATTAACCCTCTAATTAGTGCTTATTTGTTGCAAGTAAGGAACTTATTGTACATGAGTTTTGGTCTTAATATGCGCTGCCCAATATGGGCCTAATAAGGCAGTAGTACCACAAGAATAGTAATTCTCCCATAATAACACTTAACAAATATGATCTATTCTTATGGAACAAGACATGAAACTACAAGTGTTAATTAAGTCTAAACAACTCAAAATTAGCTATTTATATCTAAGAACACGTTCCCTATTCTAAAGTGAAGTCTTGTTCATAACCAATAAGCTAGTAGTTTGACTCTAATTAGGTATTTCTATCTAAAAATATGTTCCCTATTCTAAAGTGAAGTCTTGTTCATAACCAATAAGCTAGTAGTTTGACTCTAATTGACCTGAACAGGTTCCTTATTCTAAAGTTGCCTCCTCTTCACACTTTGTAAATACATAGCACACAACTACTGAAATTAACCTCAACAGTACATGAACAAAGTAGGCACACGTTGAAATATCTGTTATATTATTGAACCACTGAAGAGAGGTTCAGACACATACATGTACCAAAACATGTCAAGTTTCTCCAAGGCTGAGAACACACATGCAGCCTGTACTTTTTAATAAAAACTGATTTTTAACAGAGTTTATGTATTTGAGATCATACTGTGTGACCTGCTTGTATGTTCTTACACAATAGGTGTACTGTTCTCTCTCTGTGTTGTCTCAGTGTGAACATAGATTAAACAGCCAGCCAAACTCTTTTGAGAGCCAGGGAATGAGCAGCCATGCTCCTTTATTGACTTATTTGCAGTCCAGTGACATTCAAACGGAGTGAAACTATAAAAAAAGAAGTTACAAGGCACTTAATGATCTCATACATGCAAGTGTAACATACACAGATGAACACATTAGGACCGCTTAGTGTAAACAAGGTAAATATAGCTAATGCTAGCTGTACAATAAGCATGTATACAGGCTAGTATGGCTAACGCTAGCATGTATGCTAACGCTACCGTGTATGCTAACACTAGCGCGAATGCTAACGCATTTTCTCATTGAGTTTAAACATCTCCACATGTCATCACATAAACACAATACATGTTACTAATCCTTACAGTGTAAGTGTAAGGCTCACACTTACACTTACAGTCATTGCTTTCTGACGGACTTGACCCTTTTACTCTTCAGGTTGCAAAGGGAAAATTAGTAGCAGTGTAGTTCACGTTCTCCTACTTCCTGTACCCGGGTCTAACCTTCAGTACACATTTTACAAACATATAAATAGGCAAATATGAAACATACAGGTCAATATCACCTTGCTATTGGTAGCTGAACTGTCAATACCCCAAAACATATTATAAAATATAAATACCTAATTTTGAGTTATTTAGACACAATTAACACTTATAGTTTCATGTCTTGTTCCATAAGAATAGATCATATTTGTTAAGTGTTATTATGGGAGAATTACTATTCTTGTGGTACTACTGCCTTATTAGGCCCATATTAAGCAGCGCATATTAAGACCAAAACTCATGGACAACAACGTCCTTACTTGCAATAAATAAGCACTAATTAGAGGGCTATTGAGGAAAAACTCTCAACTAATGGCTTATTACTTGTAGAATATGGTCATGTAGAATAAGGCATTAATAAGTGTTTTATAATGACTAATAAAGAGCCATTATACTGCTAATATGCATGCTAATTAACAGTTGAATTAACCTGTTAAACCCCATGCCCCTGCCCGTGGGGGCAAAACACAACAATAGTCACGAAACTGTGTCTCAGGCATGGGTGTAGGAAGCATCCTCAATGTGGGTGGGACAATTTGACAGGGGGGGGGACCTAACCTCCCCCGGGAAGATTTTTTTTTAAATGTTGAAGTTAAAAGCATCAATCTGGTGCACTTTGAGAGCAACATTAGGGACTAAATCTATGGATACATCTCAACAACACCCATGTGAAACAGAAGTGAACAGATTTACTTTTTCTTTATGCATATTTTACAAATCACTCCCTTTTTAAACTGTAGTATGAGTTGGAATGATTTCATACCTGTTATTCTGTTATTCTCTTATTTTGTATAACTATAATGATCATATAAAGGTGTGCCTTGGAAATACTTGTTTTGCATCAATCTTGATACAGGGTACTTATATGTTATAGTTTGGATTCCTAAAGCTTTTAGTCTACTATCCCATCATTCAAGGGCGGTTTTCACTATAAGTAATGATTTATTTTTTGCACGGACACTATCATTTAATTTTTTTTACTATGTTCAATCTGAATTTACTTTAAAAACATCTATATTGATTCTGACTTTTTCTACATCCAACTCACAGGTTTATCATTGCTTTGAGAAAATAGATTATTCATTTAACCATTTTTAGAAGTGAAGATATAGTCAATTGTTCTGGGAATGTCCTTTTCAAACCTGAGACCTGAAAAACAGGCTTGGGGCTTAACTGGTTAAAATGGTTTACCATAATGTCTAATTGTGCATTGTATTACATCGCCCTATTTTATCTAGTTTAGCTTTTCTTGTTTTGTTGTTTGTAATGGCAGAGATTAGGGATGAATAAAGTACAACTATAACCATAATCACATTAAAGCATTTCAATCCATAGAAAGGTCTGTGCCACGCAATTTCAGTAGAAACAGGAACACTTTATTGCCCTTTTGTTTTACAGCCACGACTCGCACTAGCTGCTTGCCGCTCATTCAAAATCAAAAAGACCCCCAACTTACTGGTAACAATACTCACTTTCTCACTGCTCTTAACTTACTTTTTTTCTTTTCTGAGGCTGCCCAAAAAACTGTCTAATGTCACTGCCACCCTTCCTCTTGCTCATGCTTACAGCTTGACCTCGGCGATCTGCAGTTGCTGATGTGATGAATACGGGTCAGCAGCGCTGGATATAAGATAATTAAACATGTTTATTAGCAATTCTGAGCGTTCTAAACCCAGCACAAGCTATGATGCACACTGCAAACCTCCTGCGTGTGAGTATCTTTTAAATGCTTCTGACGATTATGAAATACTATTTCATAATAATTGTATAGTATTTATTATTTAATTAATTCTGGCACCTTTGGTATTCCATAGAAGTCACACATCACAGTTTTAAATCTTTCCACACCCTACAAATTACAAAATAAAATAGAAATAATCCACATGAATAAATATCTATTGGATTACATCCAAAACGACACCGTTATTTTCCACATAGCTGACACTAGCCCGCCAAACCCTGGCTAACAACTGAAACCAGCTAGCCCACAGCTAGTTAGCTACTATTCCTGAAGAGTTCGGTTTTAACATCAGAACTACAAGTTAGGCTACTTACACAAAGAAGCTAAACCGGAGGGTTCATTACCATTACGAAATAAAATAATATAGATTACTTTAGGGCTAACTAGAAAAGATACCAGAACTGATGGAGGGCAAATTAAAACATGACTGACCTGCTTGGAGCATCAAGCTAACTGAAGGTGGACTCAGACGTGCAACAGCGAAATACACCCCCGGGTACAAAATAAGGAACCAATTGACATATGAAAAGAAATATCATTTTGGTGAAGTTCACATTAACAGGAAATATAGATTTTCAAGTATACAAATAACCAAAATAAAGAAGTCATAGAATAGCAATTTTATTTTAATTATAAAAAAATTTTTTTTAAAAATGGTTTGCTATTTATTGGGGGGGACATTTTGAGTGTATCTGAATATTGGGGGGGATGTGTGTGTCCCCCCCCCCCCCCAATGCATATGGTGAATACGGCCCTCTGATCTGTTTGGTATTTTGAGAAAAACACTTCATAGACATGTTTTTTATATATTTGTATATATCTGAGACTATTGCCTACAAATAGCATGATAGGTGACCTTTAAATCAACACCGCTAAGCTAAAGGCGTCTAATGACGGAAAGGTGCACCTTTCAGATGACAATCAGTGTTTGTTGGGAAAATACTGAATGTCCTCTTCTAATATCAGAGTCCACATGATAACAAAGGTATCCCAACTGTAGCTGTGTTCATGACAGGATGTGTGATTACCTAGAAGAGCATCAGGACTGTTTGAGGCAGATGATAGCTATGTGATTAACATGAGGATTCAGCCTCTATGGAGAGAGACATCAAGCATGCTCATTTCTGACGTGGAGCTAATCTGAAGTAAACATTGAATACTGCTTTCTATTCCTCCATCTTGTGACTGTGTAACTCCCTCTCTTGGATATCAGCATGTGAAGGACACTGTTCAGGAACTAGTTGATGCTCTGTATGTGATGACTCCTTCCATTCTGGAGAGGATCACAAATACATGGATCCTGAGATTGAAGCTCAAGCCGGAGACCAGTGATATTTTTCTAACAGTGTTGCAGGATATTTAGGTCGTTGTTTCTTTGAATCTGATCAATTTAATCCAGATCTAAAATGTATAAAACTCTGACTTTTTATCAAACTGCTCATAAACTGGTGTGTGTGTGTGTGTGTGTGTGTGTTCAGCCTCTGCAGGTGAACACACTGAGTAACACATGTCTCTATCTTCCAGCTGACAGCAAAGTGATCTCCACAGAAGGGACAGATGTTATTTTACCCTGCTCCCCCAGCACCAGAGAAAACCTCCAAAACAAACTGTTTGACTGGAAGAAGCTCGGTCAGGGAGGAGCAACTCATCACGAAGTCTTCATGTGGGATTCTGCTGTTCATTATGACCATCATTCAGGTCAGAGTGAGCAGTTTAAAGGACGAGTCTCACATTTTCAAAATGAACTGCAGCACGGAAACGCCTCCATCGTCATCAGAGAGACGAAGGTGATCGACAGTGGAAGTTACAGCTGTGTTTTTCCACGTCAGCCTAGTGAAGAATTCTGCATTGAGCTCATTGTTGGTGAGTATTCTCATAAAACAGTAAATAAGCCTTCTTAGTCTTATATACAGAAATAAACAAATCTCATGCACAAGTCTCACAGCATTCATTCTCCTGTGAGACAATGTTCATCTGCTCTGTCCCTGTGAAATAAACAGACACACTGTTGGATTAACATCAGCCATATCAGTGAAACATGTTCCCATGTTTCTGTCCAGCAGACACTGTTCTGTAAGGACTCTAAATCTAAATGGTGCTTCTTTTCAAGATTAAGATAGTATATTAGTTGTATAACAAGTTTCTGAGGACAGCTGATAATATCATCCAACAATTGTAACACACTTCTGTTTTTTTGCCTTTCAGATCCTATCTTAACCTCTTGAGGCTTATCACAGTTATGTACATGTGTGCCTCTTCATATGCTCCAATTTGAACCCTTGAATACGTCCAAGACCAGTAGTAAATCATATGTATCCATTGCTTCACTGTAAAGCAATCTCTAAGCTTTCATGCAGTGTGTTCGTCTTCCTTGTAGCACTAACACAGGTATCGTGCTGTAGGACTAAATGGAAAAACTAAGACATTATTTGTTATTCTTCTTTTATTTCGTATTTGAAATGCAGTAAATCAGTCATAATAAGAGCCATCAGGCTGATATTTACAGGAGATCTACCTTAACTTGTCTTTAATGTCTGTACAAAGTTTGAAGTTGATTGACAGAAGTGGCTCCGAGATATTTTAGAAAGTGCAGTACAGATCACCTCCAGCAGAGGACTCTATAGCTCTGTTAAACTTATTAAAAGTTACCAAACAATAATAACAAATCTCTTTTTAATTATGAAAAAATTAACCTATGTGTCAAATCTAACCTTACATTCTTGTTGTTAACATTTTAATAAATATTTACATATTTATAATCATTAAATCACGCCTCCATGAACATATAAGTAAAGTTTCTCAGTTATGTGGGTCTCCTACTGCCACAGACAGTCCAGCTTCCTTCACTTCCATATATGGTCAGGCAGGTGATATAATTGGCTACAAGCTCACCTAGTTTTCAGAATGCTGGCTTACCATTGGATGAAAGTAGCTGTCAATAAGAAATACATGGCGCGCACGTCAAGGAGCTCATCTGTGATTGGCTGATTGAGTTAAAGGGCTGTTAATGACGTCACTTTAGTTCGCAGAAAGATGCCGATTGGTTCATTTTGTTCGGGAGCGTTAACTGATTTCAGAGATACCGAACATCATTGGTTAAATACTTTGTCAATACTTTAAATTGACATACATAACGTTGTTTTGAAAGTTTGACGAGTGGAGCTAAAACTAAACAAGGGACACAAATGACTTTTATTCACCATATTTTTGACTGCCGCTCACACTGAAACAAGGTACATTTAATCAGTTGACGTTTCTTCTTTAAAACAAGACCGCTTTTGTCTATACAAGTGCGTTTTTGGAGCTTTAAACCCATTTTAACCTCGACTAGATTGAATAGCCGGTAAGGAGCTAATGGTGTACTGCCGTAAAGTAAAACGCGACGGTTTAAATGTTCTTACTTCTGTAGTTACGCAATTCAACTCGTTGAAAAGACGTGCATTTTAGGTTTCAAACAAGGTATAATTTGTTTGTTATGACTTATACGGTAATATGAAATACTGTAGTTTATTTATTTATTCTTATTTAAACGTACATCTCGGGTCGTCTGCAACCTCCGCGCTTTATAACGTTAACTGTCAGAACCATCCAAGGTAACTCTTGATTTTTACGACGTCACTCTCTACCTCTCAGGTCTGATATTCAAAGCAACTTTATTCATCACTCTATTGAACAAATGGAGTTTATTCCTGTTTGCAAAATTGTAATAATATAAACTATACGTAGGCTAATTCTTTAGAGTTGAAGATGTATACGGTATGTGTCTTTGGATAAAAGCGTCAGCTAAATGCAATGTAATGTAATCAAAAGTGGCACTATTTATTATTGGGCTTTACAATAGGCCTGCTGTGTTTTTATTCTGTAGTTAACCCGATTCTCATTTGCTAATCAATATATTAGTACAAAAAACATTGTCATTGAATATAGAAAACTGCAGTTACACAGATGATTGTGATACTTGTAGATTTGACATGATTATACATTTTCCAGGATCATTCATAATCCACATTGACACCTTCTATTTTAGCATATTTTTTTAACATCCTAATTTGCAGAAATTATAAACTTTGTTTAATGTGTATTTAAAACTATTTGTTCTATTAACTAATTTCCTGGGAACAGTATGACCTAATATGATAAAATAAACCAAAGTACACTGCCATCTTCCATAATCAAAACAATACCATAAAGATATGAACATAACTCACAATCAGCTCCTTCAGACTCAAATCAGCAAACATTTGGGAGAAAAAAGTAAAAAATAAGGTGTTTTAAATATCATATTCCATCCAAAAATGTGATGAACAAAGTCTTATTCTGTGCTTTTCTTTTTTTTTATAGACGAACTGTTCAACATTTGCAAACTAGTTTAAACATCCTAGACACATCTGTTTCATTTTATACCTTATTTTTGGACTTCCTTTTAAGGTGCAGTCAAATATTAAACTGCTCATAAGCTGCTTTGTGAGTAGCAGGATTTGATTGGTGTGTTTTATCTTTTTTGTTTGTGTATGTTCCCAGGTGCATCACCAAAGCCAACTATTAGAACACTTGATCAAACAAACTCCTGGGCGCGGCTGCAGTGTGAAGTTCATGGAGCTCATCCAGAACCTAAAGTGGAGTGGAGGGACAGTTCTGGAAACATCCTTCCTGCTGAGGAGCCTCAGGTTTTAAAGAACGGAGAAAGCTACGATGTCACTGTTAACATTACTGTGACTAAGACAGACCGCTATCGCTGTGTAGCTACACAGGAGGAGATCAACCATCAGATTTCTGCTGAAAACCTTCTGCATATCAGTGGTGAGATTCTGCCTCGACATATTTAGTTATTCATATGATTTTAAATGTTGAGGGGGCCAAACTTCTCCATCATGAACATTGAGAAGTTGTGTGTAGCATGAAACATAATAATAAGGAAGAAAGAAGAAGATACACTCTATTAATCCCCAACGGAGGAATTACTTTCCCCTCACGTTACACACACTGGTTAATATACTTGAGCACACAGACCCTCTCCAGGTTCCAGACACACTCTGTATTTGGTTTGATCGGGACGTGAACCTGCGGCCCTTTGGTAAAGAACATATATATATATTCCACATCATGTCTACTCAAACTAAATGTAGAGCCCAGATGTGTTTTCTTCTCCTCTTCACTGTCACTCAGGGTTTGTTGACTTCATGATAACATCCCATGGTTATTATTACGATCACAGTTCAAGGTGCTGGACTGCATCCCTCTGAGAGGTTCTACACTTCTAAATAAGTCACAGTCCAGCACCACTCACTGACCTGAGAGATATACATCATGTTTAACAAGAGCATCATCTCCTGACTGAGAAATGTGTGATAAACTCAACCTGGAATATCAGACGCACATATATTACTATATCAACTATACTATTAATGTTAAGATCAAATGTTTTACTGTAACAAATGTAGCGTAAACAGTTAAAGAACGTCTTCTCTGTAAATGAGCTTCTGTCCTGAGTCAGAATAATGTTTGCAGATTTCCTAATGCTCTAATCTTTAACAGAGTATATGAACATAAGTCATGTGTTAATGTGTCTCATCGTGTACTAGGTAGCATGTATGATTCCTATCTCCTGAGGACCTGCAGGATGGAGTCAGAACAAACGTCCTCACAGGGACAATAAAGTTTATCATATCTTAAATCTGCGTTCATTAAACACGGTAAACAGCTCTGTGCTGACGTTGTGTTTCTGTTGTTGAGCGCTGCGATCAAACTTCTAATTATTTCAACTTTGACCTCGTTTACTGCTGACCTTTCGATGCACATCCAATCAGAACAGCTGTGCTAAGAGGCACAAGCTATCAGAGGAAACTCAGAAACTGAACTTATCTGTTTTCACCAAAAGGCTCTGCGGACAACCTGCAATTAGAAAAGAGCAAATCATGTGATTAAAAGTTACCAAAGTTTTGTTAGACTTGCTTGAAATATCAGATATTGATAGGATGGGAAACTGAGACTTAAATTATTAACGTTTCCTGTTCTTTTATTTTATTTCATCTAAATACCATTTTCAAGCAAAGAGATAAGCAAACAACATCTAAATATTTGATTTATGAAGCTGTATATCAGCTGTTGTTTCTATGATGTTCCCAGGTGCAGCTACAGAGCCGTCTGTCACATCACTTGAGGAAACAAAGGACTGGTCTCTGCTTCAGTGTTTAGTTCGAGGAGCTTTTCCTAAACCTAAAGTGGAGTGGCAGGACAGTTCTGGAAACATCCTTCCTGCTGCAAAGCCTCAGGTCTCAGAGAGAGGAGGCAGCTTTTACATCACTCTCAACGCTAATGTGACCAAAACAGACCGCTATCAGTGTGTGGTCACTCAGGAGGAGATCAACCATCAGACTAGAGCTGAGATATCTGTCTTTATCAGCGGTGAGTAACATGTTCAAATATTTAAATGTGTCTTCAGTCTGAACACAAAGTGAATTTCCTCTCTGCTCCAGACGTTGTGATGAAGACCTCTGCAGGAGTTAACATGGTTTCAATCTGAGTGGAAAGTTACATCAACACACACATACACACACACACACACACACACACACACACACACACACACACACACACACACACACACACACACACACTGTAAACCCCTCCAACAGCTCCCCTCTCAGACCAAATGGAGACAAACAGGAACTCTGAGTTCAGCTTTCTTAGAAACATGTTAGTCATTGATCACTGAGACGTTCTACAGCTGAGAGGAAACATGTTAGTCATTGATCACTGAGACGTTCTGCAGCTGAGAGGAAACATGTTAGTCATTGATCACTGAGACGTTCTACAGCTGAGAGGAAACATGTTAGTCATTGATCACTGAGACGTTCTACAGCTGAGAGGAAACATGTTAGTCATTGATCACTGAGACGTTCTGCAGCTGAGAGGAAACATGTTAGTCATTGATCACTGAGACGTTCTACAGCTGAGAGGAAACATGTTAGTCATTGATCACTGAGACGTTCTACAGCTGAGAGGAAACATGTTAGTCATTGATCACTGAGACGTTCTGCAGCTGAGAGGAAACATGTTAGTCATTGATCACTGAGACGTTCTACAGCTGAGAGGAAACATGTTAGTCATTGATCACTGAGACGTTCTACAGCAGAGAGGAAACATGTTAGTCATTGATCACTGAGACGTTCTACAGCTGAGAGGAAACATGTTAGTCATTGATCACTGAGACGTTCTACAGCTGAGAGGAAACATGTTAGTCATTGATCACTGAGACGTTCTACAGCTGAGAGGAAACATGTTAGTCATTGATCACTGAGACGTTCTGCAGCTGAGAGGAAACATGTTAGTCATTGATCACTGAGACGTTCTACAGCTGAGAGGAAACATGTTAGTCATTGATCACTGAGACGTTCTACAGCTGAGAGGAAACATGTTAGTCATTGATCACTGAGACGTTCTGCAGCTGAGAGGAAACATGTTAGTCATTGATCACTGAGACGTTCTGCAGCTGAGAGGAAACAAGTTAGTCATTGATCACTGAGACGTTCTACAGCTGAGAGGAAACATGTTAGTCATTGATCACTGAGACGTTCTACAGCTGAGAGGAAACATGGTAGTCATTGATCACTGAGACGTTCTACAGCTGAGAGGAAACATGTTAGTCATTGATCACTGAGACGTTCTGCAGCTGAGAGGAAACATGTTAGTCATTGATCACTGAGACGTTCTACAGCTGAGAGGAAACATGTTAGTCATTGATCACTGAGACGTTCTACAGCTGAGAGGAAACATGTTAGTCATTGATCACTGAGACGTTCTACAGCTGAGAGGAAACATGTTAGTCATTGATCACTGAGACGTTCTACAGCTGAGAGGAAACATGTTAGTCATTGATCACTGAGACGTTCTGTAGCTGAGAGGAAACATGTTAGTCATTGATCACTGAGACGTTCTGCAGCTGAGAGGAAACATGTTAGTCATTGATCACTGAGACGTTCTGCAGCTGAGAGGAAACATGTTAGTCATTGATCACTGAGACGTTCTACAGCTGAGAGGAAACATGTTAGTCATTGATCACTGAGACGTTCTACAGCTGAGAGGAAACATGTTAGTCATTGATCACTGAGACGTTCTGCAGCTGAGAGGAAACATGTTAGTCATTGATCACTGAGACGTTCTGCAGCTGAGAGGAAACATGTTAGTCATTGATCACTGAGACGTTCTACAGCTGAGAGGAAACATGTTAGTCATTGATCACTGAGACGTTCTACAGCTGAGAGGAAACATGTTAGTCATTGATCACTGAGACGTTCTGCAGCTGAGAGGAAACATGTTAGTCATTGATCACTGAGACGTTCTACAGCTGAGAGGAAACATGTTAGTCATTGATCATTGAGACGTTCTACAGCTGAGAGGAAACATGTTAGTCATTGATCACTGAGACGTTCTGCAGCTGAGAGGAAACATGTTAGTCATTGATCACTGAGACGTTCTGCAGCTGAGAGGAAACATGTTAGTCATTGATCACTGAGACGTTCTACAGCTGAGAGGAAACATGTTAGTCATTGATCACTGAGACGTTCTGCAGCTGAGAGGAAACATGTTAGTCATTGATCACTGAGACGTTCTACAGCTGAGAGGAAACATGTTAGTCATTGATCACTGAGACGTTCTACAGCTGAGAGGAAACATGTTAGTCATTGATCACTGAGACGTTCTACAGCTGAGAGGAAACATGTTAGTCATTGATCACTGAGACGTTCTACAGCTGAGAGGAAACATGTTAGTCATTGATCACTGAGACGTTCTGCAGCTGAGAGGAAACATGTTAGTCATTGATCACTGAGACGTTCTGCAGCTGAGAGGAAACATGTTAGTCATTGATCACTCAGACGTTCTACAGCTGAGAGGAAACATGTTAGTCATTGATCACTGAGACGTTCTACAGCTGAGAGGAAACATGTTAGTCATTGATCACTGAGACGTTCTACAGCTGAGAGGAAACATGTTAGTCATTGATCACTGAGACGTTCTGCAGCTGAGAGGAAACATGTTAGTCATTGATCACTGAGACGTTCTACAGCTGAGAGGAAACATGTTAGTCATTGATCACTGAGACGTTCTGCAGCTGAGAGGAAACATGTTAGTCATTGATCACTGAGACGTTCTGCAGCTGAGAGGAAACATTGAGACCACGTTCACTTTCTCTCAGAGTTCATTCGCTGACTTTAAACACAGGGAGACTTTGAGGACAGAAGACATGGAGACGTGTCGTGCAGCTCGACTCCAACATCAACACAAGCTGAGGGTCTGATCTGAGTATCAGCTGCTGTTAGAGACGTGACATCAGAGAGCTGGGTTTGAGTCTAGAGGCTCAGGAGTCAGATCCAACTCCACCAGGATCTCATCAGGCTCTAACCAGCTATCAGGTTCAGATGGTTGGAGGAAACATTACCAATAAATGATGTGTATTTGGTTTCCAGTGTTTCCTCTTTTATTCTTTGTGAATGTGTGTGTAGAGCCCTGAGTCTTTCCCTCAGTGAGTCCACGTGTCCTCAGAGCAGAACCTCTACATGTTCTTTATAGAGTTTTCTGAATGAATGAAAGCAGCCGTGTCAAACTCAATTTCATCTCGGGCCACATCAGCATTATGGTTGCACTCAAAGGGCCGGTTGTAACTTTAAGACGATATATAAAAATACATATATAAATATTTAATATATATAAACGTATGTATTATATTACATTATTGCCTCTGCATTGGATTATTATGAGTAATAACTTCATAATTAACTACGTCTGAAGCAGAAGTCTAGGGCAATAATTGGAAGTCTCTTCAGTGAAAATGTCACAAAATGATTTGTTTTTTAAAAAGCCAAATTCTGGAGAAAATGTAAAAAAATAATGTGAAATTTTGAAGCAAAAAAAAGTCAAATTCTGAGCAAAATTCATATTTGAGATGCATTGTGGGACATGTAGTTTATGGGCCACGTGCTTCCGTAACTCGTCATGTGACCGTATAATAAACGTATTATATTCTTTCAGAGCTCTTGTGGGGCCACAGAAAATGAAATCGCGGGCCGGATTTGGCCCCCGGGCCTTGAGTTTGAGACCCCTGAGTGAAAGTGTGCTTGTGTTTGGAGGCTCTGCTGCATAAACCCAGAGTGAGTTCCCCTCTGTGGAAACATCAGGATGTGAATCTGCTGTTCACTGAGCTGCAGTCAGGGAGGAGGACGCTCTGTAGTTCAGGAGGAGGAGCAGAACCTCTCTGTGGAAACTCTCTAAGTACACTTTAGTCATTAGAGAATAAACTAGCATCACATGTTATAAGATGATCCCATGTCTAAATGTGTAGGATCAGAGGAAATATATCCGATTAATTCATGCAGGAAAATATAGAATGTTTCCCTCAGACATGTAATTGAGAATAACATAAATACTCTAAATTGATAAAATCATACAGTGACATCTCTTTTGCTTTAATTTGTTCCCCCCTTCAGAAGTAACCAATCAGCTCCTTCCCTTGAAAAACCCATAACATAAAGGAAAATGAAACATTAAAAATAAGTGAAAAGATTCATTAATTAATTAAGAAAATGATCAAAATCTTCACACAAACTATAAATATATGATATTTCTTTGCTATTCGGGGGGGGGGGGGGGGGTGTTTAAAGGTCATTCAAATAATCTGCAATTTCTTCGAGAAGAGATTCACAGAGACCCTCAGAGTGCGTTTATCTTAAGTTTGATAAATAACACCAGATTGAACATTTCCCCCTGAAGTGATTACTGTTCTCTCTCCTGATGAAATCCTTGTAGGTATTTGTTGCCACCACAATAATAACAAACATTGCCGTTTGTTTCCTTTTGTCTTCTGTTTCAGATCCCTCCGGTGGATTTTCAGTTGCTGGAATTCTCGGCATTATTTTATTTGTTGTTGTTTTTGTTGTTTGTATTGTTGTAGCTGTGCTTGTATGCACTGGTCACATCACCCTAAAATGTAACAAAGGTAAGTGTCTCATTTTATAGTTTTGACAGTAGTGTTATGTTCTCTTCCCTGAAGTCAGGAGGGATCTTCTTGAATATATTTCTGTTTTCCTTCCAGTAGGGAAAAAGGGGAACGCTTCCTCCAAAAGCCCTGCTGCAAAATCTGAAAGAGATAAACTGGATCCAGCCTAGTGACTGAGTCATAAAGGTATCCGGGTTCACCTCTGCTGAAGTGTGTGTGTGTTAAACTACACTGTACTGGGTGATAATGTGAGGACATGTTATCTGCTCATTTATTTCAGAGAGTTAGGAGCTGGGTTTAGGGTTATGATGAGTTTGAGGTTAACAGGAGGCTGTGGCTCGTGGTTCACGGGTAAAATACAATATATTGTAACCAGGGGTTAAATTGGGATTTGATATGTGGGGGGGGCTCA